TCAGAATATTTCAGAATATTTATACTGGAGGAATCCGATGAGCTATAAAGCTCTTTTCCACAGATGTCCGGTAGCCAATCAAATGCCTTGTTTATGCAGTCGTCGGTGAGTTTACATTAAAATTTACAGTGCATCAAATTTTCACCGTGGTCATATTTTTTAAAAAATAATTGCGCACAATAACAATTTTTCTCAATGCTATAGAAGGCGCACAACTATTTTTACAATCCTATACAACTAAATACGATTGTTGATTGTGCCTTATTTTTTGTTAACATAAATATGCAAACGAGGGCCCAACTAACGTTGTAGTTCCTCAACAATGATTTGTATGTTGTGAATTATTTACAATAGTGTAATGCTAGATCTAGTAGTTTAGTCCATAAACTCTATGAACATAAGTATTGAATAAATTGTGAACTGTCATCAAATGTGAACATCTATGTATTTACATATGCAAACTGTGCTGTCAGCAGTAAAAGGCATTTTATAGCAGTAGTCCACCATAGAGAGTGGAGCTCTACTGGTTTACAATAACAGTAATGCTGATTAATTTCCGAGGAAAACCTCAGTGAGTCTCAAAACTCTTTTTCAGGAGGGTCCTGCGTAGGACTGTTTGATCAGTAGCACCTGTAACGATTGTCTTTGGTATGTGAGAGGGGGCGCCAAAGTCTGCTATTATTCATTGATATATATGTGCGGCGGAAAGATGTTCACTACGTCGCCTGGTATACAGGAGAACGTGGGTTCGATCCCGACCCTGAGTTTGCATGTTCTCCTCGTGGTCGTGTGGTTTTGGAGGTTTTTCCCTCCACATTTAGAAACATGCATTGAGAGTATTTGGCTGCTATAAATTTCCACGTGATAAGCCACTTGGTATGAGCTATCATTTGTGGGCAGGTCGCTTCTGATAAAGAGCTACATAGGCTCAGTGGGCCTTACCTGATCAAAATTAAACAGACTCGAGGGTACTCGGAGAGAATAGACACACAGATAGATTATATTATCAGAATATTAGTTAATACTGGAGGAATCCGATGAGCTTTAAAGCTCTCTTTCACAGATGTCCAGTGCTGTACTGCCAGCGCCTCTGACGGCCCAGGTCTACAACACCCGACATCCATTAAGCAGTATCCCATCCAAATGCTTATCAACTCGTATCTCCAATTAGCACGGTTGGCTACGGACGGCGTGGAAGACGTTCAACATACATACAACTCTGCTTATTTTCCGAGATCTGGCGAGATTGGGTGAATTCAAGATGATTTTTCACGACGACAGAGCGAAAAAAGACCACGTAACTGCTGTGCGTCTCTCATTAGCATTTTCCCACAACTACAAGTCGGTGTCTCGCTCTGCTAGCTTCGCTCCACGGTCATACTTTATTTACATAATGTCTAACGCTTCGCTCCCGAGGTTCAGTTCCTGAAGAAGCTCCTGCCACGTGGAGCAAAACATCGGACATCATGCAGAACGACGCGCGGGAACAACCCAAAAACACATCAGGGAACTGCACGTCCTATTCTGCTGCGAATTTACAAAAGAACTGTGTGGTCACTTGCATTCGCTCTAAGAAAATCAAAAACGTCAACGCGAGCTATATCAGTGATGGTGACTCAGCCTTCGTTAGCCCTTTAAGCCACCCAAGTGACCACGAGGTCTTAACCGTGCTACGCTTTGGCTCCACGATTCTTATCATGCCCCCCTTACCCCCACTAGCACACAGCAACTTTCCTTCCTCCTCTCCACCCCTTACATCCTCTGCTTGCACAGACTAATAGCTTGCGGGGCCTTATATGCATCGCATGCCTCCATGAAAGAGTTCGGCCAAGTTACAGCTCTTGCACTTAACATCATCGTAGATGCACATCAGGAATGTTATATTATTGGTTCTTTCGGTAAAGTCACGTAGAAGGGAAACAATAAAATAATACAAATTTAAAACGATTATTATTTTATTGTTTCCCTTCTACGTGACTTTACCAAAAGAACCAAGAATATGAATCCCCGCAGTCACGAAAGCTTTAAATCAAAATCAGGAATGTTGTTTATAATAGATTGTGCATTCACCTACATGATTTGGGTTTAACTCCTGAGAGTTGCTATGGGGATCTTGGCATTGGCACCCTCTTTTTCAATCAGCCAGCAGCTTTTAAAGCGATTTTATAGCGGTGAATGCATTGTTGCAGGACTCCCTCTTATCCGTGGTGATGCGGGACACCAGTATTGCAGACTATGTTATCCGTGGGGTTATCCACGACTTTGCTCCACTTATCCACGGAGAGAAATATGTGAATATTTGTGGATGATGGGATTAATTTTACGTGACTCCTCTTGTCTGTAGTGGGAGTGAGTCTCCATAGGGAACAACTGTTGACTTTCCCACAAAGTGGTACTATTTTATCGACTCCGGTGAGATGATGAGCTGAGTCAACCCCCAATCAGGATTTGTACTCGCAACCTTCCGATTGAGCTGTAATGCAGCTTATATAATGCAGCTTATGTAATTATAAAATATAATTATATATTGTTATTAAATTATACCTACGTGACTTTACCGAAAGAACCAACCAGTATGGATTCCTGCAGTCACGAAAGCTTCAAATCAAGCTTGAGCTTATGTAATGTTCGAGTAAATAATATTGAGGACTAATAGCTGCCACTTTACTACTTGCAGTACAGCATTGCATTCAGCTTCCTCCCTGCGTGTCCCAGACGTTCCGAATAATTACGTGGGTGCTGGGGTATTCCTGCTGTGATAAATCCAGCACAGCCCACTAGCCACAGCACATTTCGTATTTCATAAGCGCCTTATTCGCAACGAATGCTTATTCTGAGATTCGAAGAAAAGAGATACACTAGATCGAATCGTGAACTTTGTACAGCCCTAAATGTGCACGTAGCAATGCGGTAAAGTAATTGAACTTAGTGTTGAGCATAATAAGTTCAACATACAGTACAGACATATATGCACGCTTGTTGGCTAAATGATGTGAAAAAGACAGTTTCTCGGATGTGTTGCACTGCTTTGCAGTGAGAGTCGCTTCAAGTCACGCAAGCTCTTTTGGACCCATGCGCTTAACCTTCAACGCAGAAGATCCCTGGTTTTGATCTTCAACGAAGCTAATGGTCCACCCCAAACCGCATCCGTACGAGCGATGGCAGTAGATGCGGATACCTTATGCACAAATGGACACTTTTTTTTTAAAAACACTCTCCAATGTGCGAATGTGGTCATCCAGAACAGACCGTACATCATAATAACGACGCGATGCCCGATCCACGAATGCGAAGGAGACATCACGGCGATGCAGTCCGCTGCTGCTGACACGGTTATCTGTCTTGACGAACCACCCTGTAAGTGAAATTGTAAGTTGTCGCTCTGCATCTACATCATCAAGACGAACGCAAGAAGACCCAGAAGACGTGTGATAAGCAAATGCGCGGTGCAATTAGGGCAGTTATTGCTGACACAAGGAAAAACACTGACACACACACAAAGGCACCGTTTTCTGCCTGTCTGACAAGGCGGAGGTACAAGCTGACACGCAAACATTGGACAGCAAGCGGACGCTTCATACACACGGACACACACGCGCACACATTCATAGACAACTTTCAGCACAAGCTGACACGCGCACACGCAATAACAACAACAACAGTAAACCCCGAAATTGGCCCACTAATTGGTGGCGATGCCATCGTTAGCACTTGTGCCAGGCTAAGTGCACTTTGAAATCTCGTGAAGTGTCAAAAAAGCTGGCTGGCAGGCAGGTCTGTTGTTTCAGCAGGCTCTCTGAAATGTTGGCGCTGGTGGTATCAGTTCGCTGGCTCGACAAGGCAAACTGATACGTTTGCTGCCAACCATAGGGGCATGTTTGTCATAGTTTTTATTAGATGGTGCTTTCCAAGTTGGGGGTTTGGTGAAAGAGGTTACCATTAGTAGCGTCCTTCACGCGACTACCAGAGAGGCACCGCAAGTCCAATCAGTTCAACAACAAACACGCTGGCTAACACGCAAGGCAAAGATCCCCCGTGTAGCCTTCACAGGCTGTTGGGGCAAGTGCTGTGAGCGAGTAGCGCCTGTGAAGGCCCGGCACGGCGCACGAGGGAGTGGGTGGCCAGCACCACGCCCGGCCGCCTTTGTCTCCCCAGTGGCGATGTTTACACACCGCAACCACGTACTCGTTTGAGGCTGAGTCGACCTAGGGGAGGCCAATGACCGACACACACACACTAACACACACACTAACACACACACACTAACACACACACTAACAACAACAACCGCCATTCGCCACTAAGTGGCGGTGACGTCACCACGACGCTTGTGCCAGGCTATGTGCACCCTGAGGCCACACACACTAACACACACACACTAACACACACAAACACACACACTAACACACACTAACACACACACACACACAAATACACACACACTAACACACACTAACACACACTAACACACACACAATAACACACAATAACACACACACACACACTAAAACACACACACTAACACACACACTAACGCACTAACACAAACACACTAACACACACACTAACCCACACACTAACACACACACTAACACACACACTAACACACACACTAACACACACTAACACACACACTAACACACACTAACACACACACTAAACACACATACACTAACACACACACACTAACACACACACTAACACACACACTAACACACACACTAACAGACTAACACACACTAACACACACACACTAACACACACAAACACACTAACACACACACACTAACACACTAACACACACACTAACACACACTAACACACACACACTAACACACACACACACACTAACACACACTAACACACCGACACTAACACACACACACTAACACACACACACTAACACACACACACACTAACACACACACACTAACACACACACACACTAACACACACACTAACACACACTAACACACACTAACACACACTAACACACACACATAACACACACTAACACACACACATAACACACACTAACACTAACACACACGAGCTGTGACGTCTCATTTACTCGGCTCCTCCCCAAAGGCGCTCCGCGATTCAAGTAGCTGCGGAGACAGCCGGACGGAACACGGAGACAACGCGAGGAGGAGGAGGTGGAGACAACACGAGGAGGAGGTGGAGACAACACGAGGAGGAGGAGGTGAAGACAACACGAGGAGGAGGAGGTGAAGACAACGCGAGGAGGAGGAGGTGGAGACACAGGGTGGGTAACAGAGGGCGAACAGCAGCACCGTGCAGTGTCAGACGACAAGGAGAGCGGGAGAAGAAGGGGCGCGTACCGGACTGCAAAGTGAGTGGTGAGACCCGCGCGAGTGAGTGAGTACGTGTGTCTTGTGTGTCTTGTGTGAGTGTGAGTGAATGAGTGTGAGTTGTGTGAGTGAATGAGTGTGAGTTGTGTGAGTGAATGAGTGTGAGTTGTGTGAGTGAATGTGTGAATGTGAGTTGTGTGAGTGAATGTGTGAGTGTGAGTTGTGTGAGTGAATGAGTGTGTCTTGTGTGAGTGAATGAGTGTGAGTTGTGTGAGTGAATGAGTGTGAGTTGTGTGAGTGAATGTGTGAATGTGAGTTGTGTGAGTGAATGTGTGAGTGTGAGTTGTGTGAGTGAATGAGTGTGTCTTGTGTGAGTGAATGAGTGTGAGTTGTGTGATTGAATGAGTGAGTGTGAGTGAATGAGTGTGAGGTGTGTGAGTGAATGAGTGGGTGTGAATGTGTGAGTGAATGAGTGTGAGTTGTGTGAGTGAATGAGTGTGAGTTGTGTGAGTGAATGAGTGTGAGTTGTGTAAATTGTGTGAGTTGTGTGAGTGAATGAGTGTGAGTTGTGTGAGTGAATGAGTGTGAGTTGCGTGAATGAGTGTGAGTTGCGTGAGTGAATGTGTGAGTGTGAGTTGTGTGAGTGAATGAGTGTGAGTTGTGTGAGTGAATGTGTGAGTGTGAGTTGTGTGAGTGAATGAGTGTGAGTTGTGTGGGTGAATGAGTGTGAGTTATGTGAGTGAATGAGTGCGTGTGAGTTGTGTGAGTGAATGAGTGTGTGTGAGCTGTGTGAGTGAATGAGTGTGAGTTGTGTGAGTGAATGTGTGAGTTGATGTGCGGGTTGTGTGAGTGAATGTGTGTGTGAGTGAATGTGTGAGTTGTGTGAGTGAATGTGTGAGTGAATGTGTGAGTTGATGTGTGAGTTGTGTGAGTTGTGTGAGTGAATGTGTGAGTGAATGTGTGAGTGAATGTGTGAGTGAATGTGTGAGTGAATGTGTGAGTAGGGGGAGCGGCAGTGGAGCGGTTAAACCGGTAACCCGAGTTCAATTCCCCGCTCAAGGCCAACACCGCTGACGATAATTATCTGAACCGGTTCTGGGCCTCCCCTAGGTCGACTCAGCCTCAAATGAGTACCTGGTGCGATGTGTCAGTTGGGAGACAAAGGCGGCCGGGCGTGGTGCTGGCCACCCACCCCATCGTGTGCCGTACCGGCACGCTCACAGCACTTGGCCCAGCAGTCTGTTAAGGCTACACGGGGGACCTTTGTGCTTCCCGGCCAAGGCGAACATCCTTCAATATTATTTTATTTTATTATTTTATTAAAATAATATTTGATGAAAATTTTAAAAAATGTATTATTATTTCCCTTCTACGTAACTTTACCGAAAGAACCAAGAATGTTAATCCCCGCAGTCACGAAAGCTTTAAAACGAAAGGTTCTTATCCTTCACGACGTATTCCCCACCAGCCTCGGATGTTTGTCTTTGTTGCTGATGGCGATTGCGTGTGGCAACTACGGGGGTTTAGTTGTTTAAGGCCGGGTCACTCAGGGCAACAACGCAACAGCGCCTTCACCAGCAGACTGATGATCCCTAATAGAGGGGTTTTGATGACGTTGCATTCCACACCTTCAGTGAACCCTCGGTCAACAGTTATACTGAACGTGGTAGACTGCACTATCCGATTAAGTCATCGATTAGTCCGGAGTTTATCGGTTTGAGTACTCTACTAATAGGATAACACGAAAATAGTTGGGGGGTAGGGGGGGTAAAAAAAGTCACACCGATTGTCACGTGTGTGCCGCTGGACGGGAGGTGATGGAATAGAGTTTGATCACTCCCATGAGCATCATCTTTCGAGTCAAGCTGAGCGTAGTTTGTTTTGGGGCAGAGGTGTGCAGGGGGGGTCCCGCCTTCGGAAGACGATTAATCGATTGATTAATCGATTATGGCGTTTATGTGCGATTAATGTATTTTAAACCTCTTCTCTCGAGTGTCCTCGCCAGCCAGGGCTGTACGATTGGGATGCGTGGCAGTGGGTCATGTTCTCACGGCCACACGATCCACTGTGCATTACTGCATCCTGCACACCTCTTTACACACACACACCCTGTATGTTGAACTTCTTTTACACCGTACGTAGCCAACCGTGCTAATCGGAGGTGGACACAGTCCGTGCGCATTGAGGGTTATTTCGCCATAGGCGAGCCACTGTGTTGTATGCGATTTGGTTAAACGTCCCGCTTTCGGCCGTGAAGTTATACAGTTTAATTTTCCTCCAGGTCCTCCATCGCATCGTATGACGCACACCCCCTCCCGGGATGAGTGGTTGTGTTGAGTGATATATTGCATATTGTTTTTACTGCTGCATAAAGTACATTAGTAACCAGACAGCCTGTCTAAGAACGATACTTCACCGGGAATGTAAGCCGTGTAAAAAAGTCAAGTGCGCTTGTTCCAGAAGTAATTTGGAAACTTTAGACACTTAGGAATGTCTATAAAAAATATATATACATAGGTGTGACCCTTGTGATGAGACCCAGAAAGTTAAAACCAGTCAAGAATTCGCCTTGTTTGAACAACTATTTTTATTATGAATTATGAACAAATATTGTTCCACATTTGTCCGAAAACCCAATAGGCCAATAAACTAAAATCTCTTTCGAAGTCCACTTAAAATCAATATTTCTTACTGTCCACCACAGTGTACATCAGTGCAGTGTTTTTTTTATTTACGGTCTCCAAAAGTTTAACTTGCATGAACTCCTGCTTATTGATAGCATCTGACAGCGGCCCAACATTTGCTTAAAAGGTCTAGCTGCTGATAAGAACCCAGAAAGTTGAAAACATTCCACTTATTTTCCTTCATAAATACATCCGTCAGCCTACGTATGTGATGAGTAACAATACACACAAGAGGTTGCCTCTAGAGCAGGGGTGGGCAAATTTTTTGACTCGCGGGCCACAATGGATTCTAAAATTTGACAGAGGGGCCGGGCCAGGAACAGATGGATGGAGTGTTTGTGTGAACTAATATAAATGACGTGTAAAAATCATTACATGAAAGTATTTGGCCTTTAACAGGTAGCAAAGCATTTATTTGCAAGGCAATTTAACAAATTGCACGAACATGAACGATACAAAACATGTCGTAACTCCCGGTCAAAGTGCGCCATCTAATGGGGAAATGGGGGGCATAACAGGAGAAAGGTAAAATTTTATTTAATAATAATATTTGGACAAGTTCGGCGGGCCGGATTAAAAAGCCCAACGGGCCGTATACGGCCCGGGGGCCGTACTTTGCCCATGTCTGCTCTAGAGCCTAGGCAGGGGAAGGTGCAATTGTGACCAATGGTCACGGATCATCAACGCACCGCTTGCATAACGCAAACACTCCTCGATTAGAACACCGGGATTAAAAATAGTGGCCATATTATGTAAGGGTGCCCGTACGACAATATGACGACTGTATAAACTAAACTAGAGCTAATTTTTTATTGTTACCAGGTAAGGCCCCCTGAGCTCTATAGCTCTTTTTCAAAAGTTACCTGGCCGCAATTTATAGCTCAACGAAATGACTTATCACGTGGAAATGTACAGCAGCCAAATACTCTAAACGCACGTTTCTAAATGTGGAGGGAAAACGGGAGGATCCGAAGAAAAATCCACGCGACCACGGGAAGAATATGCAGGCTCCAAATATATAGCAGGCGTCAGGGTCGGAATTGAACCCACGACCTCCTGTGTACCAAGCAAGGTAGTTAACATCAAGCCACCATGACGTCATTTTACGTCTAGGCGTGGCACAATCAAAACTGCAAACGAGGTGTCGGAAATGTCCTCATTAGGAATCATCAGTTCGGTATAGCTACCATAGCCTGCCACAGCCTCGCACCTCAGGGCCTTTTGTGGATAATTAATCATTTAAAATTAATATGAACCCTTAACCGAGGTTCCTGTATGAGGAGCTAGGCTTCCGCTTCTGAACAACCATTGTGAGATTTCCCTTTGACAATTGAGATTTGTGAGTCACATTGGGTTTCCGCCCCTATGAGGTACAATCAAAACCCCTGAGACAATAGCATGGGAAATATAATAACATGTTGAACTTCTTTCACACTGTATGTAGCCAAATGTGTGAATTGGAGGTGCGGGAGAAGGACAACAAACCAAACTCGAAAAGTAGTTCTAAAGAAATGAGTTGGCCTTGCTCCGCTCTGACCGCGCCTCCCTTCTCGAAGCCGCTAGCAGGTTCCAGGGGCCTCCAGATGGGGTCCTCTGTGACCCTTACCCTAGTTCCCCCCTCTGCCCACACACCCCGTGCACACTCTCACCGGCGTGTGTGCTGTCTGTCCACCACAGTTGCCGCTGCTGCACACGTATCGAGAGCAGCGCCCGCATTAGGAGGGTGCTGGGAGTTTGGGCCCTTCTCTACATTGGGCCCTGTTCATCCATAAAATCCAGATTTGGCAAATCTGCCATGTACTTGGCTCGTTTATGAAACCAATTTTCAAATCCAAGAAACCTAAGGCATCCATGTAAGTGCCTCTTAAGTATCCAAAGAACAATCATTGGAATAGGTGAAAAACCTTTGCTGCTGCAACACCAACGTTTTGGAACAACCTTGTTTCCTCCCTTCAAAACATACTTTTAAGCACTGCTAGATACAGCCACTTTGGCAAATGTGATTTATTACTTCGATCCTTACCAATGAATCCTTACCCATGCACTCCTATCGTGTTTTTGTTGTTGTAACTTTCTGACGTGCCCCTACTGGACGACATCTGTGAAAATGTATTTTATAGCTCATCCGATTCCTCCAGGATGAATAAATATTCTGATTCTGAATGGTCCCTGTGGCCCAGCCAAGTTCACGCATCTCATCGGCGCGTCACTGTTATGGTGGCAACCACACACCCAACAACTCTCCTACCCCAACTCCAACTGCCACCACCATCCAACAGGAGCTGGAGCCGGGCCTGATCGTGAGCCTTTTCACTGAGGAATCGGTGGACACGCATCACACATCACCTGGCTGCCCCTCAGATCATCAGCGTTTGCAATGGACTTCCCCGTTTGAAAACGTGCGCTCGTGTCACTGGAATGTAGCTATGCTTGTGATCCTGGTTCCTTCTGCATGTAAACGCTCATTCATTAGCTGTCCGCTAACACGTTGTCTAGAGCCGAGGCAATTGTTTGGCACTGGGTAATCAAGTTGCTCCCTTTTTTATGCTTTTTTTTAGTACTGCGTGTGCTACATGTTTAAATTATTACGTCAGTTTTGTACAAGCCAATGCACGTGTGAGTGATTTTTAGCCCCAGGTATACTGTGCGTTGTGCTTCAGTTCCTCGTTACCTGAGTGCGAATCCAGGCCAGGGATAACATCAGTGGCAAGTTATGTCCGAGCCGCACGTGGTTCAAAAAACCGCCCCTTCACTAACCTGATCATCGTGATAAAATACGGTCATGAGGAGGCCTTCGTTCGTCAGTGGAGCCACACAGCGGCTGTGTATCATTCTGATTATTATGAAAAAGTTGGTAACAGCTGCCCATGCATAACACAGCAGCTCTGTGTGGAGCATTCGGGAACGAATTTACCCCTTAGCAATGCCCCTTCTTTGTACTACGATCGGCTGCATCTCCCCACCACCACAGCACATTGCCCCCCCCCCCCCCCACCGTCACTGCTGCCAATGATTACAGTCACAATGTTTTCTTGCCGGTTCCCCCGTGAGTTGTCGACTTGGGACAAATGATTTTGTCCCCCCACCCCTCTCTCTTTCTCGTGCTGCTGCTGCTGCTGCTGCGGCTTCCATTGTGCTATGAAACCACATGGGTGCTGTGGAATCATGTACAGTGTTTGGTAGAGAGATACATTCTGTGGAGCTGGTTTTTGAATGCAGAGCGGTGAAGTGCATGAGAGAGAATGCATGGGCAGAGGGGAGAGCACTAGAACTAAAGTTTACCGTCATTCCAAACAAATCAGCTTCTCTCTAACGAATACTTGAATGCACAAATATACAGCCCCACTGTCAATCCGCTGCTGGATGTAGGGCTCCCCAAACCGGGTTGTTCATGGAGGTTGCTTGACCATACTTCCTCGCGCTGGTCAGTGCAGGTCGGTGAAAATGGGGGGGGGGGGGGGGGGTGCGCATAACCGATTCAGATGTCACTCTCACCGACTTTAAGCCGAGAGTCGGAATCAAACTCGGATCGCCGACTTGATCTGTGCTGTGCACTAACCACCGCGCCATCACTGCCCCTCACGCATGATTGAGTTGCTCGCATGACGAGAGTAAGTATGTTCAGGGGTAGCTGTATGTACAGTGCGAAAACCACCACCGCCCTTTAGCCAACCCACATCCGCGCGTGGCTCCTGGCTGTTACCTGCGATTACGAAGTCATCTAACAATTTAGTGAAACCCTCTCTGACTCATCCCCTGTGCAACCCCACTGAGGCTGTCTGGTCCACTTGGCATCTCCCACTTGGCCCAACTTAACCCCTGCATGACCCCTACTCCAGTGCTTGGTGGCACCTGTCTTGTTATTGAACACGAGTGGCCACCGCTCTCTGTAATCCTTCTCTCAAACAGGGTTTCTCAAGCGCCAGTCGTCACCGACCCACATTGCGACCTCTCGCCAAGTTTACCAATTTACCTCCGTGAAAATGCAAATTGAGCGGTTACACGCTGCACGCGCCTGATTATTGCAAAAAAAACATCCCACGTATCATATGATTTAAATTGAGACTTTGTAATAAACATTTGGGCCCCTCGCGTGACGAAATGTCTCACAGGGTCGGAGAGCGGAGTCCTCTTTTTTTCGCCCTAGGGGGAACCCCCAATTGGCAGCTTGCCCCTGTGAACTTGTGCGTGTGTGTGTCCCAGGCGACGTAGAAAAGACGCCGGGTAAGAAGCGCTCGTGTGGGAGAAGTCGCACGTTCTCCGCTTTCTTACAGAGGTTCGGAGTGTTAAGCCCAGCGGGCGCCCTGATTAATACTGCCGGTATATTAGCCATAAGCGTGCACCATGTGCTTCACGTTGAACATCCCCGTGACGTTACGTGAAAAGAGATTAAGCCACGTGCAATTGCATCACAGTCCAGATTTTATACATTACTCGAAAATTATTTAATTTGGAAAAACCACTTGGCAGCATCGCCACCCCAAGCCTGGGAGACTGGTACCCACTTATATAGGCCAGTTGCTGTGCCACACAAGGACAGATGCCACTGGTGGTCTGCTTAGCTTGGCTTCAGCAGGGCATTTGCTTGGTTGGAATGAGATGGCGCTGGACGTTTCTGAGGTATTTAAGTGTCCTAAAAATCCTTATCCTAAAGTGTATCATAGGGGTTGCGTGACACCCATTGTGCATTGCCTTTTTTACAGGATTACATCTGAGCCGTGTCACACATCCGATGGTGCCACTCGCCATCAGATCCACTGACTAAAACAACGCAACACACCAGTGAGAAGGAAAGCACAAAAAATATACAACTAAAATTATGCCCGCCGCCGCATTCCTCCTGCTGGCAACACTAGCGCATCTTCCTCCAGCGCTGCTGCTTCGCGACGACCACTCGTGCGAGGACCACCGATGCTACTCGGTGCACCTCTCCGCGCGGCCGCTGACCCTGCGGGAGGCTTGGGGCCATTGCCACAGGATGACTCACGGACGGGGATACTTGGCGACGGTGCACAGCCCCGCCGAAGCACGGCAGCTCGGGTCCCTGCTGGACTCGGTCGCTCCAGACTCCCCCACCGAGCTGTGGCTGGGCCTGCGGAGGGATCGGCGGGCATGTGAGGAGCTCCCTGGTGTGGGGGGGCCACTGCGGGGATTCGCGTGGACCATGGGAGGAGCTGAGGGGGGTGCCGGCGCCGGTGATGGAACCTACGCAGCGTGGCGGCAGAATGAGCCAGCGCTGAGCTGCTCGCTCGCACACTGCGCCACCTTGTCACGCGCGGGCAAGGAGGAAGCGCGGGCGGCCGTCGTGGAGTGGAGGCCGCGTTACTGCGCCAACGCAACGGGCGTGCGGGGCGTCGCGTGCCGCTGGGCACAGGAGGGAAACGGCGGAGAGCGGCAGAGGGCCGGCGCCCGTGGAGAGCGGGAGGGAGAACAAGGAGAGGGGGGATGGGTAGAGGGAGCTCGGCGAGAGGGAGAGCGACGCAGAAGGGACGCAAAAACTTGCCAGCCGGGCTACGCATTCAATGCTGTCTCCAACGAATGTGAGGACGTGGACGAGTGCGATGACATGCATGTGTGCGAGAATGCGCTGTGCGACAACAAGGAGGGCTCCTTCACGTGCGACTGCCTTCCAGGCTATTCCAAGGTGAATGACACGGCGTGCGAGGACGTGGATGAGTGCCAGGAGGACCACTTGTGCAACCAGTGGGAATGCATCAATAGGAGCGGCTTCTACGAGTGCAGCTGCCCCGCCGGGTACAAGCAGCACGCCAATGGCCTCAACTGCATCGACGTGGACGAATGCTCGGGCTGGAATCGTGGCGGATGCATGCACGCTTGCGTCAACTCCGAAGGCAGCTACACGTGCGAGTGCGAGTCCGGTTACGAGCTGGGGCGGGACGGGAAGTCGTGCTCGGAAAATCCAGCCGTCGTGGTCACCAGTTTGGAGGCGACAACGACGACAATGGCGGCGACGACGACGACGATGATGCTGACGTCGAACGAGATGGCTCTGTTCGCCAATGCCCAACCATCGCCGGGTGCTCTGTCGAAGGGTCTGGCGACTGGCCCGCTTTTGTGGCTGCTGCTGGGCACAGCATCGTTGGCGGTGTGCACGATGGCCGGCGTCCTGCTCTACCGCCGCTACTGCCGGGGCAGCCGGCGGCAGAACAAGGCGGCCGAAGGTGGCGCCGGCGTAACAGACGGTTCCGCCAGCGTAACAGACGGTTCCGTGCGAGGCCAAGGCTTGGGGCCGGAATCGCGACCACTTGCTGCGATGGAAGTGTCGCTGTGATGTGAACGGCGGCCGACGATAAGCCTCTTTTTTTTTGGGCGCAAGTAGGAAAAACACAGATAGGCCGGGACAAATTGTCAGACGTACAGCGAATCGTAATGTGGGGTGTAGAATGTTAGCTGCGAGGAGGCTGGGAGATGACAGTTAAAGTTTGTGGGTTTTCTCCGGGTTCTCCATTTTGCTGCCACAAGAAGCCAAGCACGAGTTGTTGGAGTTGGCAAAATGTATCGTATCCGTGGACCTTAGATTGGCATTTGCTCACATATCAGTATATAGCTGCCGGTTTTTTTTATCTCACAAGCAGTGAGGCCGTTCATCAGTTTTATGAAAGTAAGACTCAGTGCCTTTGTATGTATGTATGTAAGTTTAACTTCAACCTCGCCAGATCTCCAAAACTGAACAGGATTGAGCTTGAAAAGTGCATGGATGGGTGACCACCGTGCATAAAAACTGGTGTTGTCTGCTGCTGTGGGGCTACATTGTTAGCAGAGGGAAGTGCAGCAAAATCAGTTGTTGTACCCTACTTCTATGCGCCATGCCTTCACGAACACACACACTGAACCGCCTGGTAAATTAACCCCCGGGACCAGCACGGCATGGGGAGGCCTTCATCCAGCAATGGATTGACAAGAGGGCTGCACGTGTACACAAATACATGACTTCAGAATCAGAATATTTATTTAGTCTGTAGGAATCCGATTAGCTATGGAGCTCTCTTTCACAGATGTTCAGTTGGGGCGGGTCAGCAAGACTTGAAAGTGACCCCAATTTAGAGAATGTTGCATAATTTGGCTAACCCGTGAACTGTGGAAAGTCCTCTGTTTATCGTTGCTTCAACAAGAACATGTAAATCTTCAAATGTCCATATCTACGTTTCCACCCGTGACCAAATCATTGGGAAATGTGGCCAATCCCGTCGGATCTCACAAACTAAGCAGAAATTGAGCCTGGACAGTGCTTTAATGGGTGACCACCATGCACACCAGGTCAACCATTGGGAACTAGGGCTGAACGATGAATCGATTTCAAATAGAAATCGCAATTTGAGACAATGCGATTAGCAAATTGCAAAGGCTGCGATTTTTTTGCGATTTGAATAGTCCTATTACTTTCTTATTGGAAGTGTTTCCGTTTTTATCATAACTTTATTTATTTAAATTAACACTCGTTCTATGTTTGATTTTTCTATTTCAATTAAAAATTTTAATAAATATATGTTGGAAACAATTCATATATTTTAAGTTCTCATCCTTGCATTAGAATATATCGAGCAGTTCATATTTTGATGGAGTCATGTGGTAATGCTCCATCACATGTTTTAAATCTATCACACAGTGAATATTGAACTGAAGCGTGACTTAAAAAAAAAATGTAATCGCAAATCAAATCGCAATCGTAATATCTGTCAGAAAAATCTCAATCAGACATTTCCCCCAAATCGTTCAGCCCTACTGGGAACATGCAGCTACGAGCTGGGCACACGAGGGCAGTTGCAGCAATGCCTATTGTTGCCTACAATACTGCACTTATATGCCCCCTAGTTTATGCTGCCCGCCTTCACCGACCCGAACCGTAATGCATTTGGTCAAATAATATCAATAACCCACGAAGTGTGGGGAGGCCCTCATCCAGCAGTGTGTGTATGTATTTTGAACTTCTTTCACGCCGCATGTAGCCAACCGTGGATAGACAAGGGGGCTGCGCCATGTACATTGTATTTGGAGGCTCTGCACTGCACATTCTGTGCGACATTGATGTGAAACACCGCATCCGTGATTGGTTGAGGACACAGCTAACAGCCTCTCTCCTCATGCTCCCATGCCTGGATCTGAAATAACCCTGTAGTGTTGTGGAAAGCAGGGGTGTGAGGGGGGGGGGATGCTGGAGGCCCCCCTTAAAAGTCTTTTACAGTATTCAAGTCCAAGAAATATTGGTAAAAAAATTTCAACGCTTTGTAATATTTGCATCATACAACGTTTTTAAAATACGTTTAACTTCGATTGTGTTGTATGTATGTTGAACTTCTATTGCACCGTACATAGCCAACCGTGCTAACCGGAGGTGCGGGATAAGGACAACAAACTAAACACAAAAAGCAGTTTTTTGTATGACCCCCCCCTCCCATCATCTACTTTAAACAGGCTTTATCTGAACCCCAATCTTCTACAACAAAACGTCCAAACCGCAAAGTGACTTCAGCATTTTGCCGGCCCTTTCCATCCAAATGGAAGGAGTGTCTGTGCATTTGCTCTTGTTCGTTCGTCGAACTTAAAAACTGAGAAGCGGAATTGTGACCTGCAGTCGGCACAGAGGACGAAACCGAGATTGGTTTTCTGCATGAGGTGGCTGGGTGGTTCAGAGGTCGGAGCCCTGAGCCGACACCGCTCACACATCCTGGGTTCAAATCCAGGCAGCCGCCTGTGATTGCGCACTTTCGGATGTGCTTCTGCCGTCTGGAAAGCTCTTCCTTCCTGTATATTAGGTACCCACTGGAGCGATGCACTTTTAAATCATCTAGATTTAAAACTATTTTTTTTAAACTGCTTTTTGTGTTTAGTTTGTTGTCCTTTCCCCATACCTCCGATTAGCGGGGTTGTCTACGTACGGTGCGAAAGAAGTTCAACATACATGAAACCGGGTTCTCAAGTGTGGCTCGTTGATAGTCTCAGCAAGGTCACCAATGACTGAACAAAAAAAGTTACATCATAATGAATTTGCTCTGCGATTTGTCGGATGAAATCCAGCGCTGAGAATTACATATATCCATTTGATTGTTCGTAGAAGAAAGATTACTTGCTGTAACGGGCCCGAACCGATTCCTCATCTCGTTACGTGACATCGATAGCACATTCTAAATAAAATTGGGGAAGTGGGGAAAGAAAAAAAGAGTTGGGTTACTTGTGGATTGGGTGAGTGTTGTACACCAAGAAACGTGTTACGTTTGAGATGCACATTTTGAAATCGTAGAGCATTGTGGGATGTTATTTGAGATGCAAAGGTTGCAGTGAGTATGTTATTGATGAGTTAATGTTTCAACACACTTCAGATTATATATACCAGTCAACCTTCAAAAAAAAGTTTTGCTAGAGTTATTTTAGAGAGCACTGTTAAAGCACTTGAACGTCAGTTTCGTAGAAAACAATAAACTGTAACTTTAAAATAAAACTGCTTTGTATCTCCGGTGACGAAGTGAGTTAATCGGTGCACCTAAAACACACGGCAAAGTTATAACCACGAATGGTTGTATTGCCAGTTCACCATTTCTATCTTAAGATATATTTGCATATTGCATCATCATACATCCACTGTATTTGCTGCGAATTTGACGCCAATCTACAAATTTGCTGTTCCTCCAGCAACATGAGACTGCTAGCACTTATGGCTTACAAAAAAAAACTAATTTTAATTATCTCCATTGTAAGAAGCTCCATATGTATATTTGCGAGAAAAGGTGGCAAACCCTACGTGCAGGTCATGGCGATTATTTCTCCATACGTCAGCATGCTGGTCAATGTGGATAGGTGAAGGCGTGGAGTAGAAATGTAGCATGATAAAATGTCTAACAAATGTCGCTACAGTAGACTGCCCTCTGCTAACGACCTTGACCCATAGGATCCGATAACACCACACAAGGACGATCCAGGCTAAGCCCTGCATAGCTTCCGAGATCAGACGAGATGGGGCACATTCCGATTGGATTTGATCATCGTCAAGATACACGTAGCAACACATTATTATTATTAACAAGAAGAAATACCTTCACAAGCGGTGTGTTTGAGCTGTGGGCTACCACACTTTTCCTCTTTTAAACCATATGATATTTAGAATCAAGTGGCAATATGTAAAAACTCCAAAGCTAAGCAATGTAACATATTTAGAACTATGATGGTAGCAGAGATACTTCTCAAATTTGCATGAGCAGATTTTTTGGGGTCTTTCGGTAAAGTCACGTAGATAGTTACTCTTTGGTTCTTCCTGCAGTCACGAAAGCTTCAAATCAAGTTTTCACGTAGATAGGATCGCAACACAAGCGGTCTTCTCAGCAGTACTCCCTTTCACATTTGCATCTGTATTGCCAGCATTTTTGGAGTGGTGGCGCAGTGGTTAGTACTCGCGACACTGCACTAAGAACCCGGCGACCTGTGGTCCATCCCTGGCCACGGCGAGCTTCAATGACAAGCGATTTCTGAAACGGAGCTGCCCCCCCCCCCCCCACTTCACTAAACCCAGCATGGTAAAGTATAATCAAATATCCCCACGACCTGCATAGCACAGGGAAACCTCCATCCACCACAACCTTCTTGTTCGTGGAATATCCAAAGAAGAAACACCACCGTAACTTCAATTATCTCAAAATTGAACCGCCTGTACGGGGAGGGTTTCCACATAACTTTGAGATCCTTCAACAAACTTCGGGATAAGAAGGTTCTCCGTGGTGCTAACGTTAAAAATAACCGCCACTTTTTTCAAAATTTCTTGCTGTGGTTTTCACACCTGATGATTATTGCTTGTTTAGCAGTCGAAACGTCGAGATAATTTATTGTTTTATATTTTTATTATTTTATTGTTTCCCTTCTACGTGACTTTACCGAAAGAACCAAAAATATATATATCAATTATCTCATTTGACCAGTACCGTATTTTCCTGCATATAGCCCGCATACGCATATACCCCGCAAAAATAGCGTTTTGTGTAAAACAAATTTCAGATAGCCCGCACCTCCATATACCCCGCATGCATTAATATCTTTAACGTCGTTACCGCAGCTTAATTCCATCATATTAATACGAAGTTTACATTTGTAATACATTCCACTATCGTCCCTAACACAGAGAGGTAACGGCCTCTCCCACCCGATAGCCTAGAGGATACGTCCTCATACTTAGTGTGCCATCACACTATACCCTGCTTAACGGGTACTGCCACTGGGCCGTTCGGACCTGGCACTGACAAGGGCCGGAGGTTGGAAGTCCCAGGGCACTATCTCGATGTCTTGAGTCTTGAGGTGAGTGCGGACTGACTCACGCTGGGAGAGCTGCTGCTGCCCTTTATATCCTTCCTCTCCCAAGCGTCCTGTCTCGAGAGGGTTTGGCCCCCCCAGCCCCCTCCCTCAGTGGGCTCTGGCTCCCTCACCCCTGGTCAACAGTTATTGTAGTCGTGACTCATACAATACTGCTATGCAGGTAAGTATACATGTTGCGTGTAACAATGCCGCTACAATTGTACAAACAATTCATTTAAAACGTGAAAACGTGCAATTTTAGTGTGAGTGGTTTATTCAGCAGTGCTTTAGTCAAAGGTAAGTGTTGCAAAGTGAATAGTCCTACCATGACAAAATTTAACGAGTTACGAAATGTTACACGTGTAAAATATTTTTTGGGATAGCCCGCACCTCCATATACCCCGCAGGGTCTTGTTTTGTTTGTAAAAAGTGGTATACCCCGCGGATTATATGCGGGAAAATACGGTAGTAGCGAAACTCTACACTTGCTTCAGCAACAGCGTGGATGACTGACCACTGTGTTTTACACCTGAGCTGTACAACCTGCAATGGCATAGCTGTCAAATGTATATGTAATCATGGCTTGACCCACTTGTCTTATGATGGTTTCTTTATTTGATAAGACACGTTCACTCATACAGGTAGAGACCACACTGCAACAGCCCCAAGTCTCCCACGCATCTCCCTTATATATGGATCGAGGCCACGCCCCCCTTCCAGAACCTTCTCGCTGGCTCGAGACGCTCGCTCCACCAGCAGACTCTACCGTCCTCTTCCGTCACCTGGCCACGCTATTCTCGATCATTCCCGTAGCCACCAGTCCCTTCATACTGTAGGCTGACTCCCCTGTCCTTACCTCCCGTGGCCACTAGTCCACTGTCATTACATATGTACATATGAATGTTGAACTTCTTTCACACTGTAAGTAGCCAACCATGCTAATCGGAGGTGCGGGGGAAGGACAACAAGCCAAACACAAAAGGCAGTTCGAAAGAAATTAGTTTTCAATCTAGATTTAAAAGTGCAAAGCTCCAGTGACTTCCTAATATCGGA